ACAGAAAGATATTCCATGCTCAAGGATTAGAATTAGTGTTGTTAAAATGTCCATAGTACCCCAAGCCATCTACAGATTCAATACAATCTCATCAAAATTTCAGTGGCATTTTTCACAGAAATAGAACAAACAATCCTAAAATTTGTATGGAACCACAAAAGACCTCCAATAGCCAAAGCAATCCTGAGTAAGAAGAACAAAGCTGCAGGCAGCACACCCCCTGATTTCAAACAATATTACAAAGCCATAGTAATCAAAACAGTATGGTATTGGCCTAAAAACAGACACACAGATTAATAAAACAGACTAGAGAGCCCAGAAATAAATCTATGCATATATAGTCAATGAATTTACAACAAAGGAGCCAAGAACATATAATGGGGAAAGGACAGTCTCTTTAATAAATGGTGTTAGAAGAACTGGACAGCCACGTGCAAAAGAATGAAAATGGGCTCCTATCTTACACTGTATACAAAAACTAACTCAAAATGGATTAAAGACTTGAATGTAATACCTGAAACTGTAAAACTACTGGAAGAAAACATAGAAGATAAGCTCCTTGATGTTGGTCTTGGCAAAGATTTTTTGGCTATGACGCCAAAAGCAAAGACAACAAAAGCAAAAATGAACAAGTGGGACTATAACAAACTAAAAAGCTTCTGCTCAGCAAAGGAAACCATCCACAAAATGAAAAGGCAGCCTACTAAATGGGAGAAAATATTTCCAAATCATTTATCTGATAAGGGGTCAATATCCAAAATATATAAAGAACTGCTACAATTCTATGAAGAAAAAAAGAACAATCTGAAAACACTAACTTACAAAGATATCTACATCCCTAGGTCCACTGCAGCATTATTTCCCATGGCCAGACGTGGAAGCAACGTTTCCATCGATGGGTGAATGGATAAAGAAAATGTATATATTACAATGGAATATTATTCTGCCATAAGAAAGAAAGAAATCTTATCATTTGTGACAGCACAGATGGATCTTGAGGGCATTATGCTAAGTGAAATAAATCAGACAGAAAAAGACAAATCTTCTATGATCTCACTTATGTGTGGAATTAAAAAAAAAACAAAACCGAACTCATAGATACAGAGAACAGTTTAGTGGCTGCCAGAGGCAAAGGGCGGGGTGCGGGTGAGTGGGTAAAGGTGGTGAAAAGGTACAAACCTCCAGTTTTAAGACAAATAAGTCCTGCGGACATAATGTGCAGTATGGTGACTACAGTTATTCAATCTACTGTATACAATATACAATATTACTGTGTTGTATATTTGAAAGTTGTTCAGATTAGGTAGACACTTCCACTTATTCTAACACCTCTTCTCCCTAGTTAGTTTTATTACTTTTATGTTTTGATCTTTATGAGTTTATGTTCTGATCTCTAAACATAACATGCCTACAAATTTTTACCCTTACCTCTACATTTATATGCATTCAAAGTGCACAGGCTGTTCTTGATACTATAGCTTACCCAGTTCCTAGTATTGGTGTTTTGTTTTGTGTGTAACTTTAACTTTTCAGCTGTGTGACAGATTGCAAAACTGGCCCCAGCACTTTTCAACTTCTCCCATGAGAGGCTAGCCTACATCCTTATCCTTTGGGACACTTTTGACCAGTGGAACACTGCAGAGTGATGCCATGCGAGTTCTGAACCAAGAACTCAGCGGGCCCTCCAATTTCTGCTCTTGTGGCACTTTTGCTTTTGAGACCTCTGCCACCTCCACCTGTGAAGAAGTCTGGGGAAGTCTCATGGATGATGAGGACATGTTCCCAGTCACCTTCTTGCCCTCTGGCCCCCAGCCTGCCAGCCATCAGACTTTTGAGTGAGTCTCTCCTAGAGCATCCACCATGGGGGGACATTCAGCTAAAAGCAGAGGCAGGAGAGCCCAGAAAGATCAATCAAGTTGCCCAGATCAGAAAAATGGCTCAGCCCACACACAGAAGCATGAGCTGAATAAAGGGTTATGGCTTTTACACCACTAAGTTTTGGGGTGGTTTGTTTCACAGCAAAGGCTAACTTACACAGGTTGGTTTAGAGAACTCATAACCAAGGGTTTTTTCCCCATAGTCTCTCAGGGGTGGCACATCCTCTGAGTCCTTTGTTTAAGAATGATTTGCTGTTGCCTTTATTCATGGATAAAAAGGTAGCTAGCCAGTAAATTTTGGGATCACAATTTTCTAACCTTAGAATTTTGCAGACATGTCCCACCTCGTCTTTCGACATTACATATCACTATGAAGAGTCTGAGTCTAGCCCAATTCTTCCCTCTTGTACGTAACTGCTTTTTCTGATAGATGACTGTAGTACTCTTTATTTAATCTTGATTATTAATATTTATACCATACTGCTCCTCAGGTTGGATAATTCTACCTTGTCTTAAAATATAGTGTCCAGCTTAGATTTGTAAATTCAGTTCTTTTTTCATATATGGAAAGTTTTACTGCTTTTTTCTATTTATTTCAATCTCCAATTCAGAGACAACAATTATGCAAATGTTGTTTCTCCACTCTTTAGTCTTCATGGCTAATTGCTCTCATGGTTTTGTCTGCATAATTTCCTCAGACACGCTCTGCTTCCACAGTGTCTAGCAGTGAGAGTACAGAGCTGAGAGGATTTTACACGTATGTGATTAAATTTTATACAGTCTGGACTCCTAATAAAGAGGTGTAGCTGCGGCGTGATGTCTGTGCCTCAGGTTTCTCATCTATGGGATGTGGACAATAGTAACTCCTAACTAATGGAAGTCTTCTGAGAATTCAATGAGCCTACAAGAGTAATACTCTTTGAAGAGTTGTAGTAAGTTTGTAGGTATGTAGTAAGTAAATATTACCTTTATTAGCATTGTAAATTATCACTGGCTCTTTATTCATCATGTGCTCTACTTCTTATTGCTTCCAAAATGGTTTTAATTTCCATAATGGTTTCATTGTTATCTTCAATTTCTTTCCTTAGCTCACCCATCTCACTTTTCAATTTCTTCCATTTTTCTCTTCTCTTTGAACTCTTTTAACTTCTCTGGAATTCTGTCATTTCTTTCTCTTTTTTTTTTTTTCCAGAATTCACGTTCTCTTTTACTTTTTGGAGTCAAATTCTGCTCTTCTAATATAAACTAAATGGTCCCATTGTCATGATCTGCTCTCTCTGAAATTCTAAAACACAAAGTGAAACAGTCACCAGGAGATTTGGAATTTTTTATGGCTCAAAAAGTACAAATCTAGTTTTTGTTTCCCCTCCCTCCTCTCTCCTACGCATCTCTGTTCCCCTTTTTTGTATTAGAACTCCTGGTTGCATAAAGTAATCATCTCAGTTTAGACCCAATGCTGCTGGTGCCTCACATCCCTCCACTTCGGATTTCAGCTCCAGCTCTACCAGACAGTTCTGAGTGGGCTCAGCGCCACCTCACACCACCAGCACCCAGTCTGAAATGGGAACTGTGTGTCTTCCTGCTTTCAGTCTCAACTCTTTCCCAGATGCTTCAGGAGCCTGCTGGTCTCTCCCCCTGCTGCTTGGAAGCATGGGTTAGTTAGGACCCCTGAGGCAACTGTCAGCCAATAAGAGCTGGAAGCCTGTAAATAAATGTTCTACCTCCTTCCTTCAAGTGGAAAATTCTGAGAGGCATTCTGTACACTTCTCAGAGGTCCCATCGGGATCTTATGTTTGCTAATCACCACAGCAACTTTGATGACACACCCGCACGTTGCTCCGTCCTCGCGGCTCCCTCTCTGATCCCTAAAATCCTGTTTCTGGAATCACTGTCTAAATAATCTCTGCGTCAAAATCCTTGTCATAAGCTCTGCTTTGTAGAAACCTAAACTAAGATAAATATGTACAATTTCTCTTTAAGCCCTTTCCACCCATTTCTCTGCAATATGGAACTTAAGTTAATATCCACAAACTTTCTGGTAGCCTGTTGCTGTCCAAGTTCTTGTGATTTAAACTAAAGTATTATTCCCTTGGCAACCCAGGATCAAATAAATTCAAATGTTCAAATCAATATGCATCCTGATGGAGATTTAGAGTTATATAGGAGCTTGCCTCATGCAAACAGGGGATTTTCTCCTCTTATTTTTATTGTTTTCATTCACCTAGGAGGATTTTGTTGAGCAGATTTAAGTAAATTCTAAATCCCTAAAAATAAGAAATTATTTTGTCTGTTATCATAAAAATTCCAAGCATAATATATGACTCTAGCCTTCAGTTTCCTTCTGCAAAATAGAGGGGATGAGGCAACACTCAATTCTTTTTGAAATTTATAATTCTGTATTGGGTGCTGAGTTCCATAGTGTACCAACTGGAAAAGGCAAAAGCACTCCCTTTGTCTGGAAAGTTTAGAAACCTTTAGTAACTGAAGCAGAAGGAGTAGACGGTCTAAATATGAGGCAACCAAAGGGGAAGGGAATGTCTCCTTCACTTCTCATTTTCTCGAACTCTGTAATCAGAGAGGGGGTTGCATGAATAGCAACATCTACAAAGAGGGATAAACCACATTGTAATAACGAGTTTCAAGCTTCATTTCCATTTAATTTTAACTAGAATTATAAACAAATACTGCTAGCTGAAAATTTATCTACTTTCCTTTCCTTTGAAAATTCTTTTGTGATTGATATTTGCATACTTTGTAAAAAGTATGTTAGGAAGAAATGTTACAATAACAATTTTGCAATATGCCCAACGATAGACAGTAACATAGGAGAGCAAAACATTAACTAACATTCTGTTTTGAGTATTAGCATCACATGATGTCAAAATTTTTAATTTCCTGGACATAAAAAGGATCTTAAATTTTTTAAAAAAATGATTCTACTTGGTTACCTACTACTACTAGAATTTACTTATATAATGTTTAAATGCATGAAAGTTAGGTCACAAAATTCTAAATTTGACACAATCCATAGAATCTACTTATTTGTACAACCACGTTTTAAAACGATTCTTTCATTGACAAGTAGCACATGTTGAATGCCTTCTGTCTCCTGCACTGTTCTAGGCAGTAGTAAGGTGAGATGAGACCCTTGACTGCACAGAGCGGACAGTCCAGAGAGATTCACCACATGTAAGCAGGCAGCCCCCACACACAACGAGCATAGCCAGGATGAGAGGAAGACAGATCTGTGGGAGCACCCAGGCCCGCTCCCTAATCCAGACTTACAGGGTAAGAATGATTCTCTAGAGAAAGCCTTATCTAATTGCCTAATAATTGAAATAAAACGCTTTTCTATTACAAAGTGGTTCCCTACAAGAGATCAAAAGAAACTATCTACCTGAAAAATTCCATGCAAGTTAGAATTTGCTTTTGTGCACTTTCGCATCTTTAAATAGACAGAGAGAGAATGCTCTCAATATAAATCTGTCTTGGAACGGATTTCTTCTGAAAGTGATTTATTGGCAATGATTAGTTCTCTGTAAACATCCTGAAAGAACAAAGTTTTAATACTTGAAATTATTCAGGAAAAACTAACCCGAACACCTTCACCAAATGCACTTTGATAATGGCAAAGTACTGTTACTAATCCTAATTAAAGCTCTTTATAATGTTCCAAAGGACAAAGAACAGAAAATAATGATCTAAAAGAGAGACATTGTGATTGCCTCAATGCATTATTCTGTTTCTTTAGAAGATAAATGCTATATGAAGGAAATCAATATTGGGAGGAAAGAGTTTTAGCCCACTTAACTTCACTAATATTTAATATTTATTGAGCATTAACAATATATATAGGGAGCTGTTTAAAATTTCAAGTTAGCGACAGTCTCTGGCAAAAGATGGTTATTTTATTTCTAACTGCATTTGGGTCCTAGCCATAACTCTTAAAACACCATGTATCTCTGTTAGAGATCTAAATGTTAATTGTTACAGAATTGTTAAATTCTTCACAGGCGACCTTAGACAAAGCAACTGCTAAGTGTTTATGGGCCCTAAATGTCAAGCATAGTGATAGATGAAACTATTAGTATAAAATTATTTAAATATATAGACAACTCAGTGTAAGCTATTACACAAAACTAATAGCAAGGTTGCAGGACACAAACTCAATATGCAAAAATCAATTTCATTTCTATAAAATAACTACAAGTAAATGAAAATTGAAATTTTATAACAATACCATTTACAATAATCACAGACGTATGGCATACTCAGCTATACATCTGACAAATTATTGCAAGATCTAAACACTACAAAATAGTGCTGAGGGAAATTTAAAAGGAGAAATATACCATGTTGATGAGTCAGAGGACTCGATATTGTGAAGATGTCAATTCTCTCAAATTGATCTATAGATTCAATACACTACAATCCAAATCTCAGGGGGCTTTTTGGTAGAAATTGGCAAACTGATTCTAAAATCCTCATGGAAATGCAAAGGACCATGAGACACGGAACTAGCCCAAACGACTTGGAAAAGAACAATGTTGGAGAACCAACACCACCTGATTTCAAGGCTTCTTAAAAATCTAGAGTAATCAAGACAGTGACGCATAGCTGTAAAAATAGAAAAATAATGGGAGAGCCCAGAAACATATCGACACAGACAACTGACTTTCAACAAAGTTGCAAAGACAATTCGGTAGAGAAACGACAGTCTTTTCAACAAATGGTGATGGAAAATTTGGATGTCCATATACAAAAATAAACTTCAATTTATACCTCGCATCTTATACAAAAATTAACTCAAAATGGATCATGAACAAAGCTATAAAGGCTGCAACTACAAAAAAAATAGTAGAAAATATAGGACAAAAATCTTTGTGACCTTGGGATAGGCAAAGATTTCTTAGGCACAGTGCCAAAAGTACAATCCATAAAGGAAAAACTGATAAATTAGACTTCATCAAAATTGAAACGTGTGCTCTTTGAAACATAGCATTAAGAAAATGAAAAGACAAGCCACACATGTGAGAAAATACTTGAAAATCATATATCCAATAAAGGAATTGTATCTAGACATAATATCTTAAATATTGTACCCTTTAAACATGCACCGTTTATTGTCTGTCAATTACACCTCCATAAAGCTGTTTTGAACATTTACTGAAATATTTCTTCTTAGGTAATACTTCATTGGATGAACTTCATTCTGTAAAATGTCACCTACTTCTCTAGTAGGGAAGGTTCACATTATTTCTTAGAAAACGAAAATTCGTTCTAAGCAGTTTGCAGGCCGTCTTCTGGAGTCTGATCTATTTTTTCAAAGAGGAATGAAAATGCCCGTGGCCTTTGCATGGTCTCCTCAGAGGGGCTCTCATCCTCAAAGGAGCACTAACCCGGGAAAGCACCATAAGCAGACCCAGTTTTTAACCAAATTCCAGAACAGTTTTTCTTAATTCATTTTCTCCTCTCAGTTTTACCCACTATGCCCTTAGGTAGAAATAATTTCCACATATTCAGCCCTTCTCTCATCAATACTGCATTTTAAAAGTTAGCTTTTCCTAGACTATTTGAGCAGTGAACAGAGAATTTTACTACTAAGTGTATAAACTTCCCTATGTCAGCAAGGACATTATACAATGTCAAATAAAGACTATATACTTCTAATCCATAACCTTCTCTGAACTCCTGCACTAGCAAATATGGAACAGCATAATTGTGTACCGAAGACTCTCCTTTAGTCAACCATGAGAAATAGTACTGTGTCCGCTCAGCACCAGGGGGTCACAGAGCAAACATAATTACGCATAAATCATGGATACATCTGTAAAGCAAATAAACCAAGCAACAAATCATGCAGTGAGACTGGGAGTCAAACCAGGTGGGCATTGGCTTTTAAGTGTCCATAGATAGAAAGGATTATTGAAAGGAAAAGTGCCATTGTGAGTGTAAGTATGTTGACTGAGGCCAAACACTTATTCAACTCATTCGTATATATATGAGAGAGAGAGAGCCTTTTCCAAGATGAATGTGACTGAACCATTGTACATGCTGGACATGGCACTTCATTTCTGAATGTGTTCACCCAGCATGACTTGCAATACGTTTGTAACACTAGAATTGTCACGCAGCTCCTGCGTCCAGAAATGAGAGTCAAGGAAAAAGAATCAAGAAAGGGAAGTTTGATGAGTTTGGTTATCTAAATGGAGTTAAACTTCCACTTAAAATAAAAATACCAGTAGAATCTATACCTTACATAATGAAAAATAGATAAAAATACAATAGACTTGTGTTGTACTTTTAATTTCTCAAAGCATACAAGGTTTAACTTTCATGCAATTCCAGGATCCTGTAGGACCATTCTTTATTACATGTATCAAGACATTGTCTAATCTATTTAAAGCGGCGAGACATTTTCAGCACCAGGCCAGAGGGTTAACATCCTCTCAAGAAAAGCCATAATAACTCAAGTACAATTTTTATGTCATACACTCAAATTATTGTAATGAATGAGACAGCACTGTAAGTACTAGGGGGCATTTTCAAATGAATAATGGTTTAACATGAAAACATAATTAAATCCCAGATAAAATGAGTCAAAAATAATTTAACAGCATTGTTAATATACAGTGAGTTGATTTGCTCATTCCATTTAATTTATGAGAGTCCACCTTGTAAAATAAATAAAAAGTCTAACGCAGCGGCAGCCTGTGCGGTCAGCACGGCAGCTCCGATCACCCTCAGCTCATGCTGTCTCTTCCCGTGGAGACAAGGACCCTGAGACTCTTCAATCATCCTAGTGGTTGATTAACACAAAGGTGCTCTGTATGAAAAAGGTGTTGAATTGAAAAGCTAGTCATAGACACAACCACACACAAGTCAGAGCTTTCTGTATCTCAGTTTTCCTTTATGTAAAACAAGATAATCATGGTACCAGGTAAAAATATAAGATCTAAAGTTCTGCATCATGCAATGCTCAGGAAATACCAACCAAGAAGAGAACTGGGATGAAAAAAAAAAAAAAAAAAAGAGAGAACATGTTAACTCTTATATGAAAGACGTTATAGAATTCAAAACTTGAGTTATAATAAATCCTATAATATTTGTTCAACACACTAATATTTCTAGCTCCTCTGTTTAAATGATCTAATGAAATGTACAACTGCGTGTCACACTAGATGATAAAATACTAGCATCTAAAGGACTTCAGATGATATTTCCAAATCAAAATATGGTTCTTCAGAGTTCCATCCTAAGGCCTCCACAGTATCTCTACTTCCCACAAGTCCAGTCCAGTGTCCTTCGTCCAGAGCCCGTCACAGGTTTGTGCCACCTCCTCTTCTCACTGGGTCCCTCTCGGTTTCCCCTGCAGCCCTGACTCGACTCTGCAGGAACGCTTGCTCACTGTTCCCCGTGAAGACCACACATTTTCAGGCGTTTTTCTCTTCTCCACTTGGCAAGTTCCTATCTCTCTACTTAGTTGTCCTGTCACCTCTGCCGTGAAGGTTTCTCTGAGCCTTGTGGCACAGGTGGTTCTTCCCTCTCTGCTTATGGCGCAGTGAAGAGAACAGACAAGCCAGAGTCGGGCAATAATCCAAATTTCCAGCCTCTACCACTGATCACCTGATCCTGAGGAACTTACCAAATCCCTCTAATCTTGCTTTCCTCATCTTTAAAGGACTTTAGCTCAGCAAATGCCTTGTCATGTAACATGAGGGCCAGATCCTATAACATACACAAGACGTGGAGAACAGAACCCAGCACACAATAGGTTCTTAGCCAATGGTAGCTGTCACTGTTGGCAATCCACACACTCTACACAGGCATGCATTGTCATTGCTTAGCTTACATCCACCCCACCCTAGACCATCAAAAGGAGTGAGTGTATTTAATCTTCTTTGAATTCTTAACAAATAGCACAGTGCCTGGCAGAGAGTGGTGACTAACTGAAGGATGGATAGATGGACAGATGGATGACTATGAATCATAGAGCACAACACTTCATTTTGAAGACAGTGAGGCCCAGACTACTTAAGCGACTCATTGTGGGCCACAGTTCTAGTCAATGAAAGAAAGAATGTGATGGAACACAGGTAGAGAGGATTTGGTTATCAGGATCTTTCCTATTTGGGAACCACATTTCCTCCACTCAGTGTTTTTTGCATGAGGTGGTAAACTAGGTAGGCCTGCTTTCCTCTGACATTCGCATGTCATGTTACCCAGGCTGGCCACGCAGAGTACCCCACTTCACCTCTGGGTCACTGTAATTGGTCCAGGGTGGAATTGTAGCTCAAGTAAGGACATAAGAGTTCTTTAAAAGTCATCTCTCTCTTTAGACGGATGCTGCTCTGAGACCAAAGCTTAGCTAAAATACAGAGTGGAGAGAGAAAAGAGAAGAGAATAAATGTTGACATCATTGGAAACTGCCTCAGGCTGCAGCTAACATTCCTGGTCCTTCCATCATTTGTTTAACCTGTGGAAGTCGGGTTTCTATCATTTGCAAAGGTAAGGATCCTAAATACAATTTGTTTCCTAATTTCTAGACCCATGTTCTTCCTATACACCCTGATGTCTGCTAAATAGCTACTAAATAATGTAAGATACTCATCAAAGACAAGTAGCTGTAGACTAAGCCAATTTCTTCATTTCCAATGGCAAACCTGATGCATTTAACCTCAGTATCCACCAGTTAATGGAGTGCTCAAAATTTGAATGAGATGATATTGCTAAAACTTGCTATTCACAAATATTACCCCTTACCATTTACAGAAGGAATATTTTTAATTGGTAAATCGTAACATTTGACAGTCAATTTTACTTTGTGTACAATGTACACACAAAAGTATTGAACCCTGAGCTGCAACAACTTTGTAATATTTAAAAATGTCTGTTTCATATGGTGCTATCAACACAGTCCTCTCCTTATCACTTACATTTGTGGAAACATTTCATTAATAGAAAGCAAGTTTTCAAATTAAGAATGTAGTATTGGGAGTTGGCCCCGTGGCCCAGTGCTTAAGTTCAGCACACTCCGCTTCAGTGGCCTGGGTTTGGTTCCCGGACTTATACCACTCGTGGGCAGCCATGCTGTGGTGGCAACCCACATACAAAATAGAGGAAGACTGGCACAGATGTTAGCTCAGGGCAAATCCTCCTCAAAAAAAAAAAAAAAAGGGTTGTAAAATTGATTTCCATCATTGTTTACTTTCCTAAAGACAAATTTTAAAATCCAAAATCTAAAACATTTAGTTTTATGAATTTTTCATAAATAGATCAATTTTAAATATATGACCTAAATATGGTTAAAACTCCTACTGAAAAACAGTGCAGGCTGAAACTGAACAAATGCCCATTATAAACATGAGTAAGTTAGGTAAATACAGTGTGGCATTAACAGTTGAGATTTAAAGCAAATTATCAGTAAGTCCCCTTATACTCCCAGGACTTTATTGTTCTACAAATTCTTGAATTATTTTGTTAAACTATATTCAGTATCTAATAAAAATGCTTTTTCAGGTGAGAAAAAATATATAAGCCGATGTTTTAGAGTCACATAGGGAAAATCAGAACACTTGGGCCAATTTCCCCAGAAGAACTTTCCAAAGCTTCATCTTTTTAAATTATCCTTTCAAAACTGAATGTTGGATTACAATTTGAAAAATCTTAACAAAATATTTATCCTAATAAATATTTGAAAAATATTATGTAATAGCATGCTAATTAAACTAATTCTTTATCTTTCTAAAACAACTTTAAGTACCCTGTCCTATGGAGAATACTTTTAGTTCCTCAGTCATCATTCTTGTGTAATTTTACTTGACAACTAGACATTAATATTCTCTTTAAATGGCTCTACCTTTCTTAATTTACTCTAAAAAATCGTGTATAGTGAAGGGTATTTAAAGCATTAATTCACTTGTTCCTCTCTCCTCTAAGGTCCTTTTAAACCCGCAGCCCTCATCATCTTACGATGGAGTTGTCACAGAAAAACCAAACAACACATGAGGCACATTATTGGCTTCCACTTTAATATAACAAAACCCAGGTATGACACAAATAAAACTGGAAGAATACTTACTCTACAGGTTTTTCCCAGGCAAGGGGATATAGAATTTCCCTGAAAAACGATGAGGAGCGAAGCCATAGATGTTAGATGTTAATACGATCTCTAAAGAAGGCAATTTATACCCTGACCCTCGCCTGACTCACACATCTGGCGTGAGGGTTGGAGAAATGGATCGCTGAGAATGCCAGGACCTCAGAAAAGTCTGTGCTTTGAAGAGCACCGAGGACAACTTCTTTTTGCCCCAGTAAAGCTCCAGGAATTTTTTCAGGCTTGTAAGAAATCCCATGTCCAGATGGTGAGGAACAATGATTAGAAATGCCTGCAGAAGGACTCCAGGACTTTCATCCTGTGGGCAGCTTCACAGAGACCCTGAGGGCTCAGCCCAGAGAGGCTGGTGGTGAGCACAGAAGGACACAGCAGCAGATGCCAGCACGGAATAACGGGAGAAGGAGCAGAACTGAGAATATAGAACAAATGCCAGCGTGGAAGGCCTGCTTACTGGAGACAGAAGTGGGAGGAGATGATGACGTGGCAGGGGGTTTCTAGCAGGGACTGAGGGCAACTCAGCACCTGGTGTTATTTCCTGACCTCTCCCCCAAGCCAAGACTTTGACAGTATGTTGGCCTGTTAGAATTGACATGCAGCCCCAAAGAAAGAGGGTGTATTAGCTATTGCTGTGCAGCAAATTACCACGAATTTAGGGGACTTAATGCCTGTAGGTTCACAGTTCTGTGGGTTAAAGTCTAGAGCAGCCACACCGAGTTCCCTGCTTACTACGTCACAGGCTGAGATGAAGGTGTCTGCCAGGCTGGGTTCTTGTCTGGAGGCTCAGGAAAAATCTGCTTCCATTGAGGTTGTTGGCAGAATTCAGATCCTTGTGCCTATAGGGCTGAAGGCCTTTTTCCTGGCCAGCTGTCAGCTCCTAGAGGCCAAACAGCCACTCTCAGCTCTTGGAGACTGCCTGCACTCCTTGCCGTGTGGCCTCTTCCATCTTTAATGCAATCCATGAAGAACCTCCCTCACATCAAATCCTTCTCTAGCTTAAGGTCTCTCTGACTTCCTTGTCTCTGACCTCTAGACCCAGATGGAAAGGACCCATGCGATTAGGTCAGACTCACCCAGATAGCCTCCTTTGCTTAAAGTCAACTAATTTGTACGCTTAATTATATCTTCAAAATCCATTCACAGCAGGGCCTAGATTAGTGCTTGACTGAGTAACTGAAAGAAAGCGTGTGAACTCCAGAGGGCGGGAACCATGGGGTCTCTCTTAGAACTCTGCCTACCACAGAGTGGGAGGAGAGAATTGACCTAGGAAATCTGGAATTGACTTAGAAACCCCTAATTGAGCATGTTTATGTTGAACTGACTAGGATGAAATTTCTAGTCAGTTCTAGTGGAATATAAATCAGGATAGAAATCAATCAATATTGGAAAATTTCTTTAAAAATGGTTCTATATAACACACACCAGAGTTTGTAACCCAAGAAATATGAACCCACTCAAATTATGATTCTGTTAGAATATAGCATTGCTACAATAGTTAAGCTCATATGTAAACTTGGTATGACAGGAAACCACATGTCAAAAATTCTCAAAAATTTTATGCACATCCCCACATCAGCAGAGTGAATGTAGGTACTTGAAATTATTAATACTTGGCCATCAGTCTTCTAGTCTTTTCTCTCTTTAGCTAATTCTATTCCTAACCCTTTCTGGCATTATTTGCATCCTAAAACTTCTTCCATGTAAATCTGGAGCTATCCAATTTTATCTATTTTCTTCAGATCATGCCCATGTCTGTTGAGTAGCATGCTGGGACATCAGGAAATGTCCCAGGACGTAATTCAGTGACAGAGGGGAGTGAGGATATTAGTTTTCTCTCCCTGACCTTCTTCTTTACCACGTGGGTGATGGAACCCAGAAGAGGCCCGAGTCTCAGGGTCAGAAGTGCAGCCAGGGAAAATTCAAAGCAACAGCAGGGTCCTTAACATCCTTCAAAAGCTAAGGAGGGATAAGAAAGTCTAGAAGGTGCTTTGAAGAAGACTCTTGAATTCCACCTCCTGTAAGGATGCTCTGATCCTCCTAGACCAAAAGGGTTTCACCATGAAATTGCTGCTTGAAAGAACCCTCCATTTGGACAGGCAGCTGAGAGCCAGGTTTCCTGAGAATTACCAGCCCCCTGTGGAAATAAACCAAAAATCACTGAAGACTACGCGGACACTGCCTCTCCCAGAAACACAAGCACACAATTAATTGCACTAGAGTAGGATTTTTAAATGTTAAAGTGTTAAGTTACAAACACAATGTGCTTGATATAAGGCTGTTGCTTTTACCTTAGAAAACAAAGTAAATCTGATTTCCAGTTATATCGTTACTCAGCTATGGTTAAGTCCAACTACTACTTGCAATTATTCTGGCTCCGACCATGGTGCCAAGAGCTCTTTCCATGAACCAAAATAAATAACCAATCTCCTTTAGGAAGAGAGGGGACTCAATAAATTGATGAAAGACCCTCTTTGATCAGCATCCAGAGCACCAAGCTGCTTCTAAATTTATTCAATTCTCACTGTTTTTAAAGAAGACTGAGCTATTTATTTCTGTCCTTTGGGCAAACTCAGAATATAATGGATGAAATGTCAGAGAAAATGAAGAAAAATGGTGATATTCCCCAGCAGAATAAATACATCTCATGCAAAAATCAAGCTACCAGAGTCACTGTGAGCCCCAAGTGAGGGGAAGCTGTAAGACATAGAACTGAGCTGAAAGCATGTGCAAAGAGCTCTGGTAAATGAGGATTTATATTTATAACGAAGCAGCATCCGTAAAGACTGATAATCTTCCAGGAGCAGAGGCTCTGGTTCTCCGATTCCTAGATGTTACCTCAGCCTTCCTAAAGTATTTGTGTGTTTGGACCACATCCCACTCTGGGGTCTCAGAGACCCCCGTCCTGATGCTGTGGGCTTTGAGCCCTAATGCAGGAAGACAAATGGCTTCTCAATGTGCATATGGGCGAACATTTGGGATTTCTGAACTGCTCCTTCAACATCTGCCAGAGAATGAAGTTTTATTGGAGAAAGCTGTCTCACATTTAAAATTTCATGCACAGTAGTTTTTAAAAAATAATGATTTGATATTAATCACTTAACAACAGATGAATATTGACTGTCCTGAGTGATATTTCTCAGATCCTGGCCAAGAGACCTCCTCATCATCCCAAAGTTCATCTTAGACATTCCCAGCTCCACGTCTCTGCTCACCCTTCCTCCACAAAATCATTGAAAGCCTGCCTAATGCACCTCAGATCCTATTTTTATGAAGCTTTCACCCAAAACCGGAGTCCAAACGATTCCCCTCTTTTCCCAATTCTTTCAGCAGTTTTTATCCCCCGTCCACATTGACGTGTTCCTGCTTCCCCACTAGGCTGGTAGCTCTCTCTTGATGAGTTCTTGAAGTAGGTGGAATAAAGGCCACTCAAAGATAGCAAGTCCTAATCCCGGAAGGTTGCAGATGTTGCCTTGTCTGGATAAAGGGCCTTTGCAGAGGCAATGAAGTTGAGCATGCTGAGATGAAGAGATGGCCCAGGGTGACCCAGGAGGGCTCTAAATGCTTTCACAAGTGTCTCTACAAAAGACAAGCAAAGGGAGATCGCACACGCACAGAGGAGGGGGCAATGGAGGACAGAGACTGGAGCGATTCGGCCACAAACCAAGGCCACCGATAGCTACATGACACAGGAAGATGCAGGGAATCAATTCTCCCCTAGAGTCTGTGGGAACACAGCCCTGCTGACCATGACTTCAGACTTCTGGCTCTGGAACTGGGAGAGATTATATTTCTGTTGCTTTAAGCCACCAGTTTGTGGTGACTTGTTACAGTAGCCACAGGAAACTAATATGGTCCAGCAAATAAGTTTGTTGACTGACCCATTACTCCTCACAGAGGGAATATAATGCAGCATACAGATAACCTTAGCTTGTCATGCAGACACCTGGACTCGTGTAGAGCCATGTTTACATCTGGCTGGACAGGTCAAAATTTGATATCCCCTAATTATAAGAAAAATGTAATCCTCTTTTTGCAAGGTTATTCAGGTTCTCTCATTCCCAGGTGAAATAGTGGTTTAGCTCATGAATTTCTGAAATAAGACTCATGGGTTCCAATGTCAGCCCTTGCACTTGCTAGCTTTTCTAGGTTAGACAATTCATTAAACCTTTCCCTAAGCTTCCATTTTCTCATTTATAAAAATCTGATACCTTCATAGGATTGCTGAGTGGGTGAAGTAATCCATGCAAAGCTCAGTGACCGGCACGTGGTAAATGCTTAGTAAACAGTAGCTATTTTTATTATTGGGTTTCCTATGGTTTATTTGTTGAACAAATTTTTGCCAAAGGCCTCTTTTGAGCTTAGCATTCTACTAAGACCTGACATTACAAATCTAAAGAAACAGACTTCCTCAAAAAATTAAAAATAGAACTACTATATGATCCATCAATTCCACTTTTGGGAATTTATCCAAAGGAAATGAAAACACTAACTTGAAAAGATATCTTCAGCCCCATGTCCATAGCAGCATTATTTGCAACAGCCAAGACACAGAAGCAACCAAAGTGTGAGGGGTGGATGGCTAAAGAAGTTGCCATATGTATGTACAATGGAATATTATTCAGCCATAACAAACAAGGAAATCCTGCCGTTTGCAACAACACGGATGGACCTTGAGGGCATTACGCCAAGTGAAATAGGTCAGACAGAGAAACATAAATACCATATGATCCCACTTATATGTAGAATCTAAAAAAGACATAACCCAAACTCACAGAAAAAGAGATCAGATTTGTGGATACCGGGGCGGGGGGGGGGGGCAGGGGTGGGTTGGAGGAAGGTGATCAAAAGGTACAAAGTTCCAGTTGTAAGTAAGTACTGAAGATGTAACGTACAAGGTGATGACTGGTTAACACTGCAGTACAACGTACAGGAGA